GAGAGTGGAGCTGTGTCAGGAGAGGTGTGGAGCTGTGCTAGGGGAGTTGTGGAGCTGTGTCGGGGGAGTTGTGGAGCTGTGTCGGAGGACTTGTGGAGCTGTGTCGGGGGAGTTGTGGAGCTATGTCGGGGGAGTTGTGGAGCTGTGTCAGGGGAGTTGTGGAGCTGTGTTCCAGACCAACTCAAATGCTTTCTCCAGCAGCACCAGGCAGCCTGGAAGCAGAGAAGCGGACAACTGGGTTTCCCACAGTGGGACTGACCAGCTGACTCTGTCGGGGATGGTAGGAGAATGCAGGGATGAGTGGAGGATGCTGGAGAGAGGTGTGTTGAAATGACTGATTCTGCCTGCAGTGGTGTGCAAAGAGCAGGGTAGGGGCTTGAGGTCCTGAGACCTGGGTTTGAGAGCCAGCTCCTCCACATATGGGTCCTTTCTTATCTCCTGGGACTTGAGTGTTTACCTTGCCTTCCAGCCCAGGCCGTCGTGAGGATCAAGGGTGGACATGCTTTGTGAGTTATAAAGGTGGCACACATGTCCATGATGTCATTACAGGATCCTGGTTGGGTCGTGTGACTGACAGAAGGGGATGGGGACTGGGTGTCCCTATAAAAGTAAAGAGCAGCAGGAGGGAGGGAGCAGAGTGGGTAGGACCCCAGAGGAGCTCGAGAATATCATCTCCAAGGACTCAAGGACCAGAACCTTGATGTTGTTTCCATTGGATATTCAGCTTGAAAACCAGGCTCTCTGGGAAGTCCTTGTGTAATTTGGGAAGTCAGGCTCCCCTCTGTGTCAGGGAAAATCAACGCTGTTAGGCAGCGCTCTGCTCTCCCCTCTACAAGCCCACACACCACCACCCCAGCCTCTCCCTCATCTTCTCCAAGCACAGAGAAAGGAGTTGACCTCATGTTCAGGGTTAATCCCTCCACATGTGCCCGACCAATCTCCTTCTCCGAGGACCTTTCTTTCTCATATTTTCAACCTCTCCCTTTTGTGTTGTAAATAAACATCACAAAAGAATGGCAAACAATTATATTTCATAAATAATATTGGGATAACTGGTGGGAATGTTGGGGAAAATACGTTTAGACCTGCAGCTCTGACCACACACAGATAAATTCCAGATGGGTTAAAGAATTAAATATTTTTTAAAAAATTAAGCCATAGATTACTCCATTCATAGGAAGGCTCAAAGAAAATAAAGTTACTATTACATATCTGGAGGGAAGATAACTTTCTAATCAATTACAGCGATCACAAAGAGAAAAGATGGATTATATACATGTTTTTAAAAACTTCTTTATGTCAAGAAACAAAAGGAATTGCAAACAAGAGTCTGGGAAAATATGAGATAAAAAGTATTTATTATATTAATAGAAAGAGCTTATATGAATCAGTAAGAAAAACAAAAATAAATTAACAAACAGTTCTCAGAAGAGGATGTATGGTTGATAAACATGGAAAAATATTCAACCTTAGAAATAATCAAAGAAATGCAAATAATGCCAGCTTATGCTTATTTAATTGGCAAAAATAAGTTTTCTCTGATATTAGCATGCATGTGGAGAACTTAATATAATCTTATATGGTCATTGGAGATGTAAATTGGTACCATTCTTGGAAATCAATCAGGAAATATGTAGCAGAGACCATTAAAATTGTCATTGATTCTTCTGGAATATTTTTTTAGGAAAATGATCCGTGCTAAAGAAAAAGTATGAGCAAAAAAGTTTATTATGGCATTATTTATAACAGTGAAAAATGGGGACAAAGTAAATGTCCAATAGTATAGGTGAGGAAATTAAATGGCAATGAGAAGTTTATGTAGTAACATGGGCAATGCTAGGGTATATGAATAAATACCAATAAATAGAATACATTAATAAGTTAGGTTAAATTCAGGATGTAAATTTATATTTACTGTACCTGGAATACACTTCGGGTGCCCCAAAGTATAATGGGAAGGGAGAACCTTTCAGTTAGAAAGATCTGGGCTGACGTCTGAACTGGCAAATTTATCACTTGTGTGGCCTTAGCAATTAAGTTATCCTCTCTGACCCTGGCTTCCTCATGAGGGTGACGTGTGAGACTTGGCCAAGTTGAGTGAAGCTGTGGCTCAAAAGCACTTAGCATGGTGCCTGGTCCACAGAAATCATCCAATGAATGGCAGCTGTTCATTATTATTGTCATCAGCTCATGTGGAGAAAGACTAGAAGAGCACACCGAAAATGATGATAATCATATGGGAGTTGTGAATAATTTTTTCCTGAAGTATTGCAATTAAGAAAAACACACAATGAAAAAAACAAAAAAATGTTGGATTTTGACCCACAGTGTCTAAGTCTCTTCCCTTGGTCTGGCCCCACTTCCGTATCCTGACTTCAGGAGTCTCTTCTAATTTCTTAGCCTCAGCTGCATCATTTGTGCCCACTCGATACAGATCCAGGTTCCAGAACCTCTTCCTTGTCATTAAGGCTCTGTTCACAGCAGGGTGTTGTATTCAGGCTAGTTAACCATAGCGTTCCTTTCTATGTAAAACGCCACCTTGATATGCTCCCTCAAAATTGATATGAGTCTTATTTCGCCTCTGTGGATCTTACCAAGTGTGTTTAGTTTTCAAAAGAAATCAGTGTTTCCATAGTACTTAACATTGGTTTATTACATTTTTATGACGAAAATTCAGAACTACGTTTATCTTGTTCTTCATCAGCAAGTTAAATATTTTTAAATGAAAGTGAACTTGTTTCCTCTTCTTGTTGTCATTTGTTCATTTTTAAGGCCTGTTTCTGGGTAGATAAGCTCTGGCTTATTTTAAAATACATTGTACAGTGTAATTTGCCTGGACTTGAACTGAGGAGGAAATATATCTCTATTTCAAATATAACAGTGATCAACTTAGAAGATATGAGAATTTCACTGTGTTCATAAATCATACCTTAAGCTTACCTAAAGAAAGGTAAATGACTAAAGCAATGATTTTTTTTTCTTTCAGGAGAGACAGGATTAATTAGTTTTATAATATGTGGAATATTTCAGAGCTTACTTGATTTTTCCATTTTAAATCTTTGGGGTTAAATCTTTGAGATCTTAAAAATATATTATTCACATTGATTGCTGTTTATATCATATAGGTATATTTTAGTTTGTCTACTTAAAAACAGTATTTCAAAGTAAATTTTAATGTGAATAGCTACTAACTATAATGTATTACTGCTGAATTATAAGATGCTTTTCAGAATTATGAAGTGGTAAACCATTGTGTGGAAAGCAGTGAACCTTCCAGAACCAAAGGAAAGTTCTCTATGGAAGGGCCTATTAGTAATGAAATTGTCACATCTCCTTACCTGGAAGAAGCAGAATAAAGATGTCAGGCACTGGGTCTTTGCTCAGAGGTGGAAAAAGGCAGAACAAATGTCCTCTTAGGCAGGGTGTTACTTACGTGGCTTATTGAAATCTGAGTTACTACTACTCATTGTTTTAAATGACTGTGGAAATGAGACTCATCTTCTCAATAGACGTGTGTACTCTTTGGCAACATCATGTGCTTATTCCTTGTAAGGTGCTCATAAAAACAAGTCACCTCTCTGAGGCTGGCAGCAGTGTTCTCATTCAGAAAAGCCGCAGCTCTAAGAGCTGCGAGCCCCTCACATACATTCTCTGCTGCTGGGCCTTGAGGGGATCGCTGGATGAGATCCTAGGCTGGACGGGTGGGTCTCTGAACATCTAGAAGGTGATGGCAACTTGTTGAAGGATTTTTCTGAAGCAGGGGGATGACCCAATCAGATTAGCATTCCAGAAGAGTCTTTGTAGCTGCAGTGACTACCCTTTGTTGCCTTTGTTAATGAGAAATTGATAGGATTGCAGCTGGCCCCAAACCTCAGGCGCTGGGATGTCTGGTTTGGCCCTGAGAAGTTTGCTTAGGAGGCAGCTTGGGCTGCAGAGGAGGAGAGGCAGCGCCTGAGCACCATCATTCAGAGTCAGTTAAGGAAGAACAAGTCCAGGTCAGAATCTGGACCAGAGCTTTGGCACTGGAGGAGGGAGGAAACAGTGGACACCAAAAAGGATGTATTACGAGAAGCTGTAGAGTCTTTTTTCCAATTATGTTACTGTTTCTTTAAGATATGTGTGCATTTAGGTAAGTTTACTAAGAAGAAGCTTAAATCAATTAAAATATTCACAACTCTGCTCTTAGCAGTGTTGTCTGTGTGCAGCTTCTCCCATCAGTCATCACGGAAGCAGCGGTCAGTTGAGTATTAATATTTCAGTGAACATAGCTAGCCTTGAATTATCTAGTACCATTCTAGATCAGAGGTGGATGCATGCCTGTTTTGCTGTCGTAGGGTATCTCAGAAACTCAGCGTGCCAGCTTCTGTTATCAAAATTAGTTATTAGAAGCTGTGAACCTCTGCTATTTTCCCAGATGAAAAGTTGGATTCCAGAGAATTTCTCTGTGGCTTTTATTTTGTATGAATCCAAGAACTTGCCTTAACTTTCCGAAATGAATTTATTTTCCGTCCACTGGACACTATTTTAATAATTTGAGGGTAAGAAAAAAAGAAAATCTACATTGGAGGTGAGTTTTTTTTTGAAGTTTGTTTCCATAATCTTTTTTTTTTTTTTTGATGAATTCTTTTAATAGAACCAAAGTTAACAGTCATTTATAAACTTAAGTGAAAATTTCACTCGTACTTCTCCAGATTGGAGGGCCTAGTATTCTGTCTGGTACCCTCAACTTTGTCCTGGCTCCTGCTAATAGCTGACCCTCCACACTTTCTCTTCTGCGTGTGTTATAGCTAAATTCCACGTTAATAATGTGTGGCTGTCTTCTTGTGTATTACGTAAAGAGAAGATAATGAAGACCAATGAGAAGATAACCTTCAGTTGCTGTACATTTTCTTAGCAGTTCTTTGCTGGACTACATCTGTTCTAGCAACAAGATACCTTTCTTAATAAATTAGAAAAAAAAATAGTGATTCATCTCTCCTGTGAATTATTTATTTTCTTTGACAGAAAAGGACGAGCCTCCGCTTAGCAAGGCCGGGCAGGATGTGGTTTTGCATCTGCCCGCAGATGGGGTGATTTTGGATGGCCGCGAAAGCACAGATGACCACGCCATCATCCAGTATGAGTGGACACTGCTGCAGGGTGACCCTTCAATGGACTTGAAGGTAATTCATGTGGTCATGTGATGAAAACTAATGTTTCAGTGGAGTGGTCTTTCATAATGTCCTTCCGCTTATGTTTCCAAAATGTCTGTAAACTAGCAGAAGAGGTGTAAAGTGGAGAAAGTATAAAAGTGACTGTCCAAAAAATGGTTTATTCTGTAAATTTACTTTTCTGCTGAGTAAACAGGGATCCTGACCATTTGTTTTGAAGCTTGCCCTGTTCTTGTTGCTTTTTTTTGTTGGCTTCTCCAGAATACAAAAGACACTTCAACCCACACATCTGTGGACAGCTAGTCTTTGACAAAGGAGCCAAGAACATACAATGGAGAAAAGAAAGTCTCTTCAACAAATGTTGTTGGGAAAACTGGATTGCCACATGCAAAAAAATGAAAGTAGACCCTTACCTTACACCATACACAAAAATTAACTCCAAATGGATTAAAGACTTGAATGTAAGACCTGAAACTATGAAACTTCTAGAAGAAAACATAGACAGTACGCTCTTCGACATCGGTCTTAGCAACATATTTTCAAGCACCATGTCTGACCGGGCAAGAGAAACAATAGAAAAAATAAACAAATGGGACTACATCAAGCCAAAAAGCTTCTGCACAGCAAAGGAAACCATCAACAAAACGAAAAGACAACCTAGTAATTGGGAGAGAAGATATTTGCAAACCATACATCTGATAAGGGCTTAATCTCCAAAATATATAAAGAACTCGTGCATCTCAACAACAAAAAAACTACCAACCCAATTAAAAATGGGCAAAAGACCTGAACAGACATTTCTCCAAAGAAGATATACACATGGCCAACAGGCACATGAAAAGATGTTCAAAATCATTAACTATCAGGGAAATGTAAATCAAAACTACAATGAGATATCACCTCACGCCCGTCAGAATGGCTGTAATTAACAAGACAGGAAACAACATGTGTTGGAGAGGATGTGGAGAGAAGGGAACTCTCGTACACTGCTGGTGGGAGTGCAAACTGGTGCAGCCACTATGGAAAGCAGTATGGAGATTCCTCAAAAAATCAAGAATAGAACTACCATATGATCCAGCTATTCCACTGCTGGGTATTTATCCAAAGAACTTGAAAACACCAATGCATAAAGATACATGCACCCCTGTGTTCATTGCAGCATTATTCACAATAGCCAAGCCATGGAAGCAACCTAAGTGCCCATCAAGGGACGAATGGATGAAGAAGATGTGGTTTATATACACAATGGAATACTACTCAGCCATAAGAAACGATGAAATCCAGCCATTTGTGACAACATGGATGGACATTGAGGGTATTATGCAAAGTGAAATAAGTCAGAAGGAGGTCAAATACCGTATGATTTCCTTCATTAAGTAGTAGATAATAACAACAATAAACAAACACATAGAGACAGAGATTGGATTGGTGGTTACCAGAGGGGAAGGGGGGAGGGAGGAGGGCAAAAGGGATAATTCGGCACATGTGTGTGGTGATGGGTTGTAATTAGTATTTGGGTGGTGAACATGATGTAATCTATGCAGGAATAGAAGTATAATGATGTACACCTGAAATTTATACAATATTATAAACCAATGTTACTGCAATAAACAAAAAATTTAAAAAAAAGTGTAAATTAAAAAAAACACACTTCAGGGAGAAAAACTCATGCTTTGTTTTAATGACTCGGATTGCTTTTATTTATTTATTTATTTATTTATTTATTTATTTATTTATTTATGTGAGGAAGATCAGCCCTGAGCTAACATCCGATGCCAATCCTCCTCTTTTTGCTGAGGAAGATTGGCCCTGGGCTAACATCTGTTGCCAATCCTCCTCCTTTTGCTGAGGAAGACTGGCCCTGGGCTAACAGCCATGCCCATCTTCGTCTACTTTATATGGGACGCCGCCACAGCATGGCTTGACAAACGGTGCGTCAGTGAGCAACCGGGATCCGAACCTGTGAACCCTGGGCTGCCGCAGCGGAACGCGCGCACTTAACTGCTGCACCAGCGGGCCGGCCCCTCAGATTACTTTTTGTATCCTGGCTTTTTTATTATTTTATTGAGGTAATATTGGCTTCTAACATTGTGTAAATTTCAGGTGTACATTATTGTATTTCAGCTTCTGCAATAGACTGCGTCGTGTTCACCACCAGTAATCTAGTTTTATCTGTCACCATACATATGTGCCCCTTTACCCCTTCCACCTACCCTGCACCCCCTCCCCCTCTAGTAACCACCATCAGATTACTTTTTAAAAATTTTGGTTCTTCTTTTCTTAGTACAAGATCCAGATAGAAAATTCATTCATCAAACATTCACTGAGTTTCTAGCCTTAGACCTTAGGTGCTGCTAGAGGTGAGAAGATGAAGAAAGCACAGTTCGTTGTTCAAACCACCCTGGTAAGAAAGGCCTGGGGTGCCCAGGAAGGGCTTTCACACGGATATAGGGAGTGGAGTCCCTGTGAAATGCCTGAAATGTTGGCTTTTTCCTATATTTCTTCTATTTCTAGTTTTACGTATGTTTCCACATACTGTTAGGAGCTGAGGTTGCCCGCTCCTTTCATTTTATGTGCCGTTTCTTCGTGCTTCTAGCTCTTCTTCCTAAGTAAGCAGCTTTGCTTACGTCTAAAAGCATTTTTAAATTTCAATGTAAAAACGATTCTTCTCTGATTGGGTTGAGTTAGAGGCATAAACGGGAAATGAGGGCAGAGTTAGGAAAAACTGGTTGTAAACATATTCTGAAACAGTAACACAGAAGTATAATTTGGTTGGGTTGTAGGGGGAAGAATAAGTTCAGTTTTTCCCTCTGTTCTCTACTTCTGGAGGCTTCTAATCACGGCTAATCTTATAGGTGGACCACTGTCTACATGGTGTGTTTTGAAGAGTAAGAGAAAGGCCCAGTCCAAAAATATTTCTCCCTTTGATTCAAGAAATCTCAAGATAAGCAATTTAGTTCTGTCTTAATTACCACCTTCTCTGGTCCTGCTTTTTTTGAAATCGATCTTCCTCTGGGCAGCATATTATAAGAGAAATCCTCAGCTCTTGAGGAAACTGTCTTAAAATCACCTTCCTCCAGAATTGAGAAAGATGGCAAGTCAGAGTTCTGTTCTTGTGAATAGGATCTAACTCCACCATCTGACCACGTGTACCTGGGAAAGTACAGATTGTTGAATTCATTTTGCTCTGGCCTCTTACAGTCCATTGACTGCATCTCCACCTCAGTCCTATGGCCACACTCAGCATCCCCTGTCACACGCACCTTACAAGTCCCCACTCTGATCCACCCTGCCCTCTCCTCTCATATCCCAGGGCACTGAACTCCACAACTGCTGCCTTCAGCAGTCTCAGATCTTCTGTCTGCATTCAGGTCGACCAGCTGGGACAGAGCCTCTTGTCTCTCATGGCACCTTACTCAAGGATGCAGGGCTCACTCAACACATTCTACTAAGGTCGTCATCTGCTACCATGTTCCCTTCTGTTCCTGTCTAAGTCCCAAGAAGCAATAAATAGTGGTGTAACCTGTGGCATTGCTGCCATCTAGCAAGGCCTGCTGGATTCAGAGCCAGAGTTGAAGGGAGTGAGAGCTGCCCCACCACCTTGACTTGGGCAGATCTGTGCTTTATGACCTGCCCTTTGCACTACCACTGGCTCCTCTGATTCAGCCTCACACCCCTGTGGCCATAGGGAAAGGTCATAATTGCCCCTTCCCTTACAACCATGTGGACAGAGGTGGGAGGGAAAGTTTCCAGAAGAGCGGGGTGCCAGGCCCCCATCCCACTGGAGCTCAGGTCTCCTGACCACTGTGGTGACTAAGGCAAGAGACAGGACAGGTTCCAACTGGGGTGGTAACAGTAGACATGATGAAGCGGTCAAACTCTGGATATATTTTTAAAGTAGAGCCAACAGCATTTCCTGATGAATTGGATGTGCAATATTAAAGAAAAGAGTGGTTAAATGTGCCCCAAAGGTCGCAAACCACACAGTTCTTGTCTCATTTAAATCTTACTCATCGGAATCTCTGATCTCTGATTGTTCTCAGACTGATGACTTGTTCTCAGACTGATGACACTTTCATCTCAGGACGTTCTTGTTTCTGAGGCTCAGTTGCCCACTCCAGACTCTTTGAAAGTTGTCTTTCTGTCGTCAGCTTTCTCTCTGCTGGCCCTGTGGGTAGTGTTTCAGAACTCACATAGTCACCCCCGTTTGATATTCTCTCGGCGGAGTTGGGCCTGAAGACCAGCTAACAGAATGGCAGTGACTGCTGCTTACCATCTCTCTGACATAGACAGGAAAGGCCGGGGGCCTTGTCTGCAGCTCTCCAGCTTAAAGCTTTTGCAAGGAAAGGGATGGGACAGCTTGTAGACAGTTTTACAACTGGAGGTCTCAATTCTGTCACTGTCTCAGTGAATGAAAGTCACTTTACTGAGGTTTCGTTTCCCTGTCTCTAAAAACAGGGTCATGTCATTCAGCTTGAGATGAGAATCAGCCAATGGAGATAGTGGATATATTTAAGCATTTACTGTATTAATTTTTTTATATCAAAAAAAAGAAAATTTTATTTTGTATTTTTGATTTGTATTACATTTAAGCCCAATATTAAGGTCTTTTTACGTGGTTATCTCATTTGATCCCTATAAGGTAGGTGCTACTATTACTTCCATTTTACAGATGAAGAAACTGAGACTTAGGTTAAGTGACTTGTGCAAGATCACACAGCTGGTGCATGGTAAGGCTGGTGTTTAAACCCAGCTCTGTTGGACGCCAGACTCTGTGCTTCTAACCACTTCATCCGCGTTTCTTCCAGTGTGATGGGCGGATCACCTGGGGGTGCTTGTTAACGTGTAGATTCCCAGATCCCACTCTCCAGACCCCGTGACTCAGACTCTGAAGCTGGGACCTGGAAATCTGTCCCTTAACAGAAGCTCTGGGTGATCACTGAGCAGCCTGAACTGTGACAACCACTGTGTCTCATTACATCATCTCTAATGATTGTAAAGCATTCTGCTCGTGTGTGTGTGGAGTACTGACCAATCCTCCAAGCCAAGGTGGTGTGCAAGAGTCCAAATTCTGGGATTTCAAAAATAAAAGCAAGCAGATGACAGTTACAATAGGGCAACTCTCTGTACTTTCAAGTCCATTAATGTGTAAATGTAAAAATATATATAATGGTCAGAGTTTGTTTGTAGAGAATAATGTCCAGACTAGTTCATTTAACAGAAAGGAATTTTTTTTAAAAAAGGATATTAAGCAGTTAATAGTATCATTGGGAGGGCTGAAAAACCAGCCTTTAGATTGGGCATCCAGAAGTGACTCCTAAAATCCCACCACAGAACTGAAGCTATTGCTCTGCCGTGGTCAGGAAACTGCCTGCAAAGTGGGGTGAGGAGAGCAGGGGTCCAGAGGGAGCCCTGGGCTCAGAGAGTGAGCAGAAGTGAAGCCCACGAGGGTGATTGGTGAGGATGTTGGGAGAACTCGGACCCAGAAATGGAAACCAGGGAAGTGGGGAGTTCCAGAACACAGGAAGGGCCAACATTGTTAAATACAGAAAGAGGGCCAGGGGAAAAAATAAAAGACGAGACTAATAAGTATAGTTAACCTTGATGAATAGGTGACCTTTGCTGGGTCAGTTGGTGAGTTTTAGCAGCACAGTTTCAGGGCAATGGTGGGGAAAGAAGCCAGACGGGTGGGATGAAGAATAAATGGAAAATGAGCAGATGAACCAGCACGAGCAGCATGGACAACCCTTTGAAGAAGTTAAGTTGAAATGGAAAGGAAATAAGATTGTGGCTAGAGAAGATCTTGGAGTGTAGGGAGCTTTTTATTGTTGTTTTGTTTGTTTGTTAGGTCTAGAGAAACTTGAGCATAGCAATGGCAGGGCCATTTGAAAGAGAAATTGATTGATGAGTCAGTGTTCTGAAGGTCAGATAGAGAAAGGGGTCAAGGACTAGATGGAGGGGTTGGTCTGGAGTGCAAGAGGGACGGCTCATCTTAGGGCTGGAGGTGGGGAGGTGATAATGGGTTCTGATACAGATACATCCCCAGGATGGGGTGAGTGACGAATATAATTATGGTCTTAATTTTCTTCTAGAAGTAGGCGAAGTCACCTTCTGAGAAGGAAGGGAGTAGATAGGGGGTGTGGAGCTTGGAGGAGGGGCAGTTTGGAACAGCGGCTGCTAAGGACAAGTGAAGGATTGTCAGTCAAGTATATTGTCGGCCCAGATAAAATCGGAAATTGTGAATTCAAAGTAGGGCTAAATTGCCAAAATAGTGTAGGATTAATATTCCACAGCCCTGGACCAGGAGTGGAAAGGTGGGTCCTGGGACTGCTCCAAGGCCGACACTGATTTCCAGTTCACGATGATGTTGGACTCCGTGCCTCAGATCTCCTAACTAAACGTGATGTTTCCTATTTGGTGTCAGGTGCCTCAGTCAGGAACCCTGAAGCTGTCCCACTTACAGGAAGGAGTGTACACCTTTCAGCTCACTGTGACGGACACTGCTGGGCAGAGAAGCTCCGACAACGTCTCGGTGACAGTGCTTCCCATGGCCTTTTCCACGGGAGGTGAGAAGACAGTCCTTTTCTTGCATTCCCAATGATCAGCAGACACTGGGCTGTTTACGGAAGGATGGTGTTGGATTTTATATTCTGACTGTGCATTTCATTGGTTCTTCCATGGGAATCTTTATTAAAAATATAATAACAAAAATAGGCTCCATTATATTTTGGGCTAAGTGACCCTGCTGGACTGGGGAGGGAGCACTCCAGGGGATGAGAATAGACGTGATCTGTGGGACCCTATAGACGCTCCATCTTTTCTTGACTAGCTTTCATGAAAGACAATCGTCTGGCTTTCCCAGGAGACGATCTTGTTTAAAGGTGGGTGGCCTATTTGATATGTGTGTTCGAAGAATGCAGGTAATGGGTACATTTAAGACAAATTAAAATATATGAAGTACATGTGTCAATTTAAAAGGAATATTTAACAATTTTTTTCATGGACTCTTCACAGTTGCACAGATACATTAATAATATGGCTTTACATTTATATGATGGGTCTCACATCCTGTTGCACAATGTAAACTCTTTTATCTCATTTGTCTATGTTTATTACTTTCCCAAACATCTACATTTCTAAGATTAGCTCATCAAGTTTAAAAAAACGTTACATGAACTTGGCAGCACTAAAGATGTAGGGGTATCGCAGAGAGAACCCCCCATAATCCACTTCTGAGAAGTGCTGAGATGTTGCATATTTCAGGGTCCTGTCACTTGGCCACTGGATGTTTTCTTAGTGTCTGCAGTGCACAGGAACTGTGTGAGCACTGGGCATGGAGTGGTCCACGCCATAGACCTCATCTCTGTCCCCATGTAGTGAACCTTCACCATCACTAGCCATGGCTCTGATAACCTGAACCATGTCTCTGTCATCCTTGATTCCTCACTATTTGGGTGGAACTTAAGCCAGCACTTGGAAGAATAAGGATAAAAAGATTGGAATATGACTGTGATTTAGTGGACGATTGCTGATCTTGTCTTCCATCAAAGACATAGGTCAGTGTGCATATTGGGAATGAAGGACAGAGATTTTAGAATCCTAAGGACTTGGCAACCTTGATAATTGGCCTTCCACAGGGATACAGAGCATAAGCAGCATTCAGAACTTTGTTGGCTGACTCCCTGTCCAGCCAAGGTTTCAGCTTACTGTGAGGAAGGAGGGGTGACTGCACATGGACAGGCCAGACACCAGCTCCTGCCCACGGCAGCACTGTGAGGCAGTGATGGTGAGTAAGCAAAGCTGTCCATCCCAGCCCACATTCAAGCAGGCCCTGTTATTCATTGTAGCTGCACAGAAGAGCCAGACAGTTATTCAGAGCACTTTTGAGTTCTGGTGTGCTGGACATGCACCAGGGCCATTGGAAGCGTGGCATTGGCTCCAGCCAGTCACTCCCCAGTGGAGGACCACTAGGCCCACAGGACTGTCCCCCTGCAACCCAATGCTTGTCTGGGCAGGGACCAAGTCAGGTGCTGATTCTGGGAGGAAAGTGCTCATGGGGAGAAGACACAGATTCCCCGTCATCCCCTACAGAAATCAGGGAAGGATTGCTGTCGTACAACCGAGGTGCCTGCGAGGGAGAAAGGGCCCGTGCTGGAATAAGGATGGCTAACCCCTCACCAGCCACTTGTCTGCCCTGGTTTGTTTCCTCAGCCCTCCTTCCCCTCCTTTCCAAGCTCTGAAGGCAAATAGCCAGTTGTCCATTCTGGCCTTTCTCCAAGATGATACTGTATTTGAAGTGGCAGAGAGTGATATGAATCACTTTTAATTACTGAAAGGCCACTTGGGTATAGATCTTATGTGTATAACTTTATATAGGAAATAAAAAGAATGGCTGTCGTCCTAACTGCTGTCTGGAATCACTCACTGGTTAAACTGGAATAACAACTATGAACTAAAGTTAATACAACACCACAGAGAGACACTGAAAACCAGGGCTGCTTCTCTCCCCTCTATTATATATTGATCTTGCAGTTAATGACCCAGCTATAATAATACCAAGGGTGGCACCTTCTGGGTAAACAGAGAGCACACACCCCTGCTTATGTGATGATAACTTGCTTCAACTTTGGCTCTAGAGGCTGCGTGTTTTCAAGCTTTGGGAAAAAAATCTATTCAAATAGCAAGGCAACAAGCACTTCCACTACAATCTAGAGCAGTGGTCTCCTAATAGGATCCCCTACAGGTGGCCAAGACATTTTTAGGATGGAAAAGAAGACACCAGACTTATGTTTTTATTAATTTTTAATATTATTTAAATTTTCAGTATATTTTACATGTACAATATGTTAGTACAGCAGTACATGCATATTATTTATAGATTGAAGATCTATAATTGGCGAAGATCTGTTGGTGTTTACCAATGTATTATTGATCGAGATGCATGGTCAAAAAGTTTGGAGACCACTAGTCCAGAAATAGATGGATAAATTACAAATATGGATCTGTCCCAAAACTACCAAGGAATCAGTAAAAGCTTGAGATATTTAGGATTTTCACGTCCTGAATTTAAGAAATATGAAAAATAGCTATGTCTTGCTTGGACACAGAATCCCCTCCACTTTTCCTCCTAGCGCCTTCCCTGTGACTGAGCACACTCTGTTTCTAGGCCCAAGTTCTCAGTCACAACTGAGGCTCTTTGCTTCCTCTGCTTTCTCAGGAATCTACCACCATAACTTTTCTTTACTCTCTTCTTCCTCCTGGATCAGGACATCTTCAAATTGCCCTGCACCCAGATGGACTCCTTTCCCAGCCTTTTGATTCCACTGTTTTCCAATGGAATATGTTTCCAAGATTTAGCTTGGGCGTGTATACTAGGCTCAGCTGTTTGTCTCAGTGGAATATCATCATTTACCCCTCTCCCATGTCCTGAGAGAACTGTCCAGTCCATCTGTCCCTGGAAAGTTATGGAACTCTTCCTGACCTACTTCTAGCCTAATACCTTTAATCTGCATTAGAGGTGCCAGAAAGTCTCCCAGTTCTTGTAAAGTTGGCTGAATCTGCAATATAGTACAGGGCGAACGAGGAGGATGCCTTTCAAGAAAGTCCATGTGGCTCCTATGAATTGCACTGTGGATTCAAACCTCCTAAGAACTCCAAAAAGGAGATAATTTCATTATTTGAAGAAAATTAATTTATACCAGATAGTAGCTAAAGATTCTGTTTGTTCTATACAGCGCCAAGGATGTATGGTAGTCAGCATATAGGGTTTAATAGTAAAAGGTTAATCTCAGTAAAAGTTATTACTTAGGAAACAAGAATGCAAGACATAGCATGTAGAAGGTCTGGATGGAGGAGCTCAGAGCTGCTGCTCCTCTGTTCCCATTTCTTAGGCAATGTCGGCTTGGAGAACTGCCCTAAGATGAAGAGCCCATGGTGATTCCTGAGAATTAAGTCAGGAGGGCCAAGAGGAGACCCCCTAACCTTTCCAGAACCCACTGCTCCATCCAGCTCCAACTGTTAGGTGTTTCCTTGCTGTCTGCATCTCACGCATACCCAAATGCATTTCATCACATGTTAGTCTCTGTTAATCTTGACTCAGGGGAAGTCTTACCTCTCCTGCACTCCTGTGACCTGAGACTCGTTTATAAACAGGATGCTTGAACGTTTGCTCACGCTACCACTTCTTTTGTGACGATGGCTGTTGCATTGATATCACGCTGGCTTGTGATGGAGTGGGGCAGTGTCCTGATGGGTCTGATGAAGCTTTCTGTCAAAATTGTGAGTCGGCTGCATTGCATTTTGAGGCAAGGGGTGGAAGGCATGTGTATATTCTCATAATACAATGTGAACTCAATATTGTACTTTTTCTGCCCAGTTTCAGGGATAACTTTACGTGAACAAGCTGTGCCTTAAATTAAATGAGCATTTACCATGACTCTCTAGTCTGAGTGACAAATGTCAAATTTTTGATATTGCTTACATTTTTCAAAAATTGCTTTCAATTTTCCAAAAGATTCTTCCCCATCCTAAAAATGCTGTATAGCATATGCTCTTTTAACAACTGAAGTGAGTTAACATTTTGTTTTGATAATTTTTAGACAGTTTATGGCATCCTAGGGTGTGGCTCAGTCAGAGCTGTAAACCAGTCTTATTATGTCTTGCACATAAAGTCACCGCAAGGGAGAAGAGAAGCTGCGGAAAGTTCCATGAAGTTCTGGCTTGAGGAAGGATGAAGAATCTCAAAACCTTAGGTTTAAGTTTTGTCTTTGTCAATTTATGTATGACATTTAGAAAGTTAATTATTGGAAGAAGGGAGAACAGACTACTCATTTGAAAATGAGAGAGAGAAGGTTTTTATGGGGCTCTGACATGTCTTAGATGGATAGGTTTATTCCCAAATATCCATGACTTTAAATCTACTACAGATTTAGTGGTTTTAGTTAAAGTTCAGAAAAGAAACCCAACAACTGACAGTAGCTCTTCATGCTTCAGTGAGCCTTGACCAGAAGATGGGGACCCACACAACTACTGTCCAGCCTAGAACCACAGGACCAAATGAAGATACCAGGGGGGGCTCCTTGTTGGAGAAGTCCCAGAAAGACACTGCCCCAAACCAGCCCCCTGCGTTGTCAAACACGGAGAAGAGGAATCATTCCGCCTTCTGGGGACCAGAGAGTCAGATTGATCCCAGGATGCCAGGTAAGGACTCGAGGCAGGTTCTCCACAAAGAGCCTCATTGTCTATAATGACACATGGCTCAAAATCAAAGTTATATTTGAAGAGCGGTAAGGAAATATCTTAAAAGAAAGAAGAGAGTTAAAATGAAGAATTTAGCCAAAAAGATAAAATAAAGACACCTGACACTTGTGCTGATTATTTATGGTAAGGTACACCTTCTTCATACATTCCTACATTCCTACATCTATGTATGCATACTCCAGAGATGCCAATACATTTATTTGTAAATACATTAGAGTTGGGAAGTTTTAACACATATGTTACGGAAACTAATACCCTAAGGGTTAAATTTTAGGTTATTTTGAGATGAAGCAGCATAACCCCTACATGTAAATCCTCTTCACACTGAGCAAGTGAATGTAAAGAAACTATGACGTCATGTTGACATGGTTGCATGTGGTAGTAATTCAGGGTTATGCCTCCAATTTAAATAAATCTGTGATTTTTTAATTTTTTAAATAAGGCTAACAAGACTTTTAAATACATTCACACTGCAGAAACATTACAGGATTCTATCATTTTAAATGTCTTTTTTACACCTTTATATTTTCATGATTATATGACATACGAGACGGAAATATAGATGATCACGTTCCTGTATACTTTTGTGACTGTCTTTTCAGTACTCAAACTCCGCATACATTGTACTGAAATAATCTGTCACTATTTTAATAACTTCTTTATGACAATTTTTTGTTCATTGCAGAACTGCAAATAATTAAAAAGAAAAATGACTTAAAATACTACTCTTTATTGAAAATGACTAATATTTTGGCATATTTTCTTCCAATCTTTTGTTTATCTACGTTGTGGATTTTAAATGTCTCCATACAAATATGTCCACAAAATATTCCATGAGGGGCTTTTCTTTCTGCCAGTTGAGGTTCAGGGCGCTTCAGATGCCTGCGTTTGGTCTCTTCCTTGTTGGTGCTGCCACCTACTGGTCCAGTCCGTAGCTCCATGCAAACCTTGGGATTTGTTTACTCCATTTTCTCCATATGGAAGGTCTGTGTGGAGGAGACAGTCAGGGGAGACCAGGTGTTTCTGGCAGGAGAGTTGGAGAGTTGACGGAGAGAACTAAGCTCTTGGAGGCCAGGATGGAGAAGTCTTGCTCCATCACTGTGGTAGAGAGGCTCACATGAGATGAAAGGATTAGCTAAGGACAGCATGGGGAGCACAGGCCAGGTCTCCCTCATTAGGTTCTCCTCTTGGCTCTGCCTTTAGAACCTTGAGTAAGTTGCTTCCTATCTCTGGACCTCAGTTTCCTCATCAGTTCATAAGGGATTTCACCAGATGACCCCTAAGGCCCCGTCTAGCATTGGAGTCTGTTTCAGGAATGACAAAGAGCCTGACGCTCATGCAGCACTCCATCAGCCCTGTCTGTGCTGGATACTGCTCAGTGATCCCAGCGCTGGCTCCTGGGGAGTGAGGACTCAGCCTCAGAATATTTTTGAAAATAGTGCTCCAGGTTGCCCCACCAGGTGATGGGGGTTGGTACCCGATGTGAAATGTATTTGTAATCTCTGCTTTTGTCTTTTTGATAATAAGCCTTTGCCGTTGGCTGTGAAGATGTAAGGAATGGAGTTTCACAGAGGTAGAAAGATTAGAAGTCCAGTGATTATTTATAATATGTATTGTTTTTCCCTAATTATTAAGGTAATATGTATTTACCATAGGAAATTTGGAAATACAGAAAAATATAAAGAAGAAAATGAACATCATCTAGCCAAACTCACCCTTAACAATTGGTTGCGTTTTCTTCTGGTTACTTTTATTTGTACACATACGTGCAGACATTTCTTCCCTTTTAACAAAATTAGGATAATAGTATTTTTACAAAACCTTTATTTTTCTCACTTATGAGCATTTTCATATGTGATTAGATATCCATCAAAAACACAAGTTTCGAAAGTCCAAGGTGAAGAGAGTGGGAAGAGAAGAATAGAAGTTTGTACACGTCAGAAAGGGCCTCAGAGGACGTGGTTTCTGTTTAGACAGCAGCCGTCCCCTCCCTCCCCCTCTGTTGTCACTAAGACCCCAGGCCTAGAACCCCCAGCCTCTGATTTCATGTGAGTTGAAATTATGTTCTACCCAGCATAACGTAAATAGACTGAAAATGCATGATTACTCATGCCCTGTGCCTCAGTGTTACAAGGATCATCAGCTGGTGCAGTAACTATGGAGATAAGTTCAATTTTCTGCTCCTCCTCCCCCACAGACATGCTGTGAGGATAAATAAGACTTAACTCAGTGAAGACACGCTAAAGAGATGCTAAGATTAAGACTAACAATGTAGTACAGAAAGTCATGAGATGCAGTTTTTCCCTATCACAGTGACAAAGGTGAAAAAGTATAATAATTAATTTGTTTATAGGAGTATAGAGAAACAAGTCTCCTGTGCTTTTGGTGGGATTAAATTTAGTACAGTCTTCCAGAGAGCAGTTTCTGAAGCCTTAAAACTGTGTAGCCTTGACCCAATTATTGTCCTCTAGGGAATTTATCCCAAGCATGTTACTAAGGATAAAATTAAGAGTGTGTGCAGATATTTGGTTACACAAGCGAGTGCCCACTCCGTCCACTCAGAGCTCTTGGTGGGGAGAGCACAGGGCTTCATGGTGCTGGTGTTTGCTTGAATGCAGCAGCACAGTGCTGATGTTGCTGGATGTGGTTGGAACTGTAGGGCCTGTTCTCTGTGTGGTCCAAGTCATCCACTGACAAGGCTGTCCTCTTGTATCTGACCCAGCTGGAGGAAAGAAATCTGGATTCCAGCACTTCAGGGTGCTAGAAAAGTAGTGTTGTATCCACATTCAGATTGAATCCGTGTTTTGGAAACTTGAGAATTCATGTCCAGCCCCGCAGGTCAGCACATTCTTTAAGGGTCTGGATTGAAGCAGGGCCTTAGGAGAATGCATGATTTCTGTATGGAGGGTACGGTTCTGCCTGCACTTTCTCTGATTCCCCTGCTAAATATGCCAAAGCCTGCCTGGTTAGCTTCTCTCTGGAGGTAAGTAGAGTGAGCAACTGAGACGTTTGCCTTATTATGGAAAGTATTTTATTCAGAGAGGATGGCCTTGTAAAGGCTACTTAAAAGGGTTTTTCCACATTCCTGGTATTTCATCTTTTCATTATGTTGGACTGTGTCTTTTTTTACTGAGAAACCATTTTGCAACTATAAAACAACATTTCTGGGAAGGTCGTTTCAATGTGTTGAGCCTGATCAGCAGCACAGCTGAACAGCCTGTTACCCTCCAATGTGGTGGCAGGAGTCAACTGGATTCTCAAATGGATGGAGGGTCCAGTTAAGGGAAATTCACTTACCACAAATGAAGATAATCAGATGGTTATTTCCATGAACTTATCAAGGGGAATAGGTCCTCTTTCATTCACCTATTCCCTTCTTTGGAAAATGTCATTTAATCAGCTATAATCAGCATCTGCTTTAGTGCACCCCACTATTTTGGGCACTTAGAGAAACGTGGGTCTTGGAAAAGGTATCCTCTACCTTCTCCAAGGTTCCAATGTAAACTTTGTGGTCACTGTACTGGGGATTCCATAATTTTTACTATTTGAAATCTATAGATGGTTTATACAGTAGAGTCTATCTTGTAACGTCTGACCCACTTGGGTCAGTCCCAGGGAACCACTTGGTTTTAAACCAAATGACATGGTTCATTTTATCGAGAAGTGAGTTGAAGATCTCCGGCATTCTGATGGGATTAGATTACCTGCCAGCCAAATACAAATCTATTCATGAACAGTAATGTTTTTCTTAGCCTGCCTTCACCAATGAACTTAGAAGTCCTTTTAACTAATCTTAGACAAGTTGTAGAGGCTTTTTCAAGGATGGCTAGTACAAAGAATTGAAAATGAGCAAAGAGAATGTCAATAAGGAGTTTTATGGCTATAATGAGGCCTTAATAACATTCCCAGTGTAACAGACACACAGGCTAAGTGCCCCTGGCTAGCTAAGATTTCATCCTCATACAATCCAGAAGATTTCCTGAAGAGAGGTCCCTCTTACCTACTCTGCAGCCATGCAGTGTGGTCCTCCAGTGAATAGTGAGAAAGGACAACTCTGTTGTCTAGGTTAGTTGGCCATTGTTCACAGGAAACTATAGAACATTCTGGAAGGCAGACCTATATGGTAGCCACTTTCCAAGCTGTTATTTCCAACTTGCTTCCAGAACATGCCTGCATGTTCTGTGATGACTGAAAATGAAATTAAAACAACTTTCACCCACCTTCCAACTCCCTCTGTGAATGTGTAGCTATGCGTGATAGACAACACAATAGATCATTCAGAAGAGGGAAAAAACAATTTCCTAAGACATTAACTCTTCTAAAAGGATCATTACCAAAATGAATTATTTGCAAAAGCAAATGATATCATTGTCTCGTTTCCAAACAAAAACACAGGTTCATTTACCCACCCCATGGTAGGGCCAATAAAGAAAAAAAAAAACCTGAAACACCAGGCTTGTGGTAAGGAAAGAGGTTTACTATCAAAAGGCAGCCAAATGAGGAGATGGGAGTTAGAACTCAGATCCACCTCCTCGAAGGGAAAAAGGTAGAGGATTTTATCTGGGGTTTAGGTAGGGGAAGGAGAGCATGTGCTGGGGTTTTAGATAGGGGAGGGGTAGCATGTGGCCATGTTAGTTGGCACCTTCCCACAAGCCGTTTTGGCCTTGAAGACTGAATTTCTTTTCCCTTGACTGTCTGGATGTTTCTGGTTAGTTTTCGTTTTCAGCCTACATTTGGCCTTGTGAGGCTGAATCTTGATATCTGGACCTTGACTTCTTGGGAAAATCAGCTCACTCATATACCAAGGAGGGACAGAAAGACATAGTTAGTTTTAAACAACAGTTGATTATGCTAAATATACACAGCTGCAGTTAGCAAAGCTTATCTCAAAGCTTTTTGCTCTAGGGAAGATTTTTAACTTCTTCATGCCCGGTTTCAAT